TGGCCGACTGGAAGGATGTCTGGAATGTCCGGTCAGCGAGGTAGGAAGAGATGGTTTTTACCAAGTACGACGGGAAGTTGAGGACGGTCAGTTTGTATAGGAGGCCTTGGACCCAGACTGTGTCGAAGGCTTTGGCCACGTCCAGGAAAACCGCGCCGGTTAGCCGCTTCTCATCAAGGTTTCTGTTGACCCTTTCGACGAGGCGAGCCAGCTGTAACGATGTGCTGTGTCTGGGTCGAAACCCAAACTGCTCGTCGCGCAGCAGCCCGCGTTCACTGACCTCGTGTAGGACCCTCGTTAGTAGGATTTGACATTCTAGACTCCAGCTTGGCTGCTTATATACCTACCTGGCTGAACAGACATCTGCCATGCTGAATATAATATTGTATACCTATTCCAATATTAGTTGCCTAGCAACCTGCCTGAACTCTTCCTTAACTGCCTACACAACAGTCTCCTTGTCTGGCACATATCCGAGTGTACAAAATCATGTTTGTCTAGACAGCTGCTTATGTACCTTCATGACCACCTGTCTTCACAGATGCCTACCTGAATATGAAAGAAACTAATATAAAGTGTATGTGTGCTGCGTCATGCAACAAAATATTTTGTAAGTACATCTATTCAGCACAGGCTTAGTGGTTCAGTGTGTGCCCTATTGATGATGTGTGTCAGTTTAGAAAAGCATGGACACTGATCACTCATTAAACTTCTCATGAAAGAAGGCATAACTTCCTAGGAGATTCATAATCATCATAATCACAGGAAGTCTTTGTCTATATACTACAAAATCGAAAAATCTGGAGAGTGAACTGACAATGAGACTATTATGTGCAATAGGTACTGAATGGTTATAATGTTACTGTTATATTTTCTGCTGGAATTAATATATCATAAATCAACTTTATTCTAAATGTAACATCACTTAAAAGACCACAGCACAGAGTTGCTTTTCTTACACAAATGTGGCTAATTTCACAATAGCTATCATAGCACTTCCTCATGATTAAAAAGCTTCAGGTCAGAAAATTAGTTCACATGAGGTATGGTATATTTTGTAATTATATTCTTAAGAATAAAATGTCTGGTGTACATTGCAAAAGATTTATTCAAGTTCCACCTATGTGTAGCCACAATTTTTAAATTCATAATCATGTATCAATTTCTCCTTTTTTGTTTCTTGAAGTAACTGGTACATAAATGACAGTAACAATTCAGTGCAATAAGATTCTGGGTTCTTCCACAGAGCCGGTTGTATGATGACATATGTCAGTCAAGTACTCTTTAAATGTTGTTTCTATAAGAGCAATCTTGAGTTATTAAATAAAAAAAAAATATAACGTGCCTTATTGGAACTTTTATATATATATATATATATATTTCTCATTAAATTATATGTCCAGTAACCTGGGTAATTTATACACAGTCCACAACAAGTACTTTCCTTCCAGTGTGTCACACCTGTAGCAGGTAAGAACAACAGAGTGCAAAGTTTGTTATCCAACTGAGAAGGAAAAGTTTCATGTCGCAGGTGCACATTCAAGTCTCTCTTCATTCTGTATTTCAAAGCAACTTCACTTTCTCTAATTGGCAGAATAAGCACAATGTTACTTCCCACCAAGAATTCACATTCTATTAACTTAACCACTATCTTTGAGAAAGTAATATTTATAGATTTACATTTTTGTCTTTCAAGTAAGACAACTTAAATGTTGTAAATCTTCTACTGTATTTGGTAATTTTTCATAACTTAAGATGAATTACACAAAAAGTGTCCACCCATTCTATGTTGGTAGGTATAAATAAAACTTTTGTAATTTTACTTTAAAGAAATCACAGCTATGTGAAACTATTATTCAAGCTTTTCTATATGTTAAGCTTTGTGATATATAATACAAGATGAGTTTGTATTTTAATTCAGCTGTAATTTTAAGAGGCAGACATAGCAATGTTGTCTGGAAGTTGAAAATTAAAATCTCACAAGGCTTATCAGCATCATAACACCAAAAATGCAGAGTGAGAGTGTTTCTGAATAGGAGGTAACATATTTTTGACCAACCTGATTCCATACAGACCCATCAGTCTCGGTTTAAAAAGTGTCTTAAACACTAGTTTCCAGTTACTTTCCATTCAGCTTGCACCACATGTGTGATTAAATAAAAATAATTAAAAATAAAGTGGTTTTTACAATTTAAAAAATATTCCTTTGCTTTGTAAGCAAACATATGTTTTTCAAATTATAATAAAATAGTATGGGAAAATAAAAGTGTAATAATAGGGACAAAACTATTCTCCCATCCCTTTTAGGGTTCAAAAAAGGAAACAATGATATTTTTGTACAAAGTGACATGATTTTTCAGTTTTCTTTACAATAATAGTAACGTCATTTTGTCTCCTCATCTTCCATCAGTGGTGATTACATACTTGTATATGTATAATATGATTATTAAGTGCAGACTAGGTTTATTCTTGTTTTTGTATACAGTATATATTGGTTTATTCTGCACATTTGTGTTGCATTTTATAATATGGCACATTTCGAAAATGCTTGCACACTTCATTTTCAAAATCATTTATGAATACTAGGCAACCTTATTTCTGTATATTTAAAATCAATTACACAAAATATACGACTTGGAATGCATCTACATTTGAAAAGTTTAGGACCACCAACACATGGATACCATATTTTCTCTTTCACATTCCATAAGAAAGTGTATTCTGATCATGAACATACAGAATACACATTCTTACAATATGAAATTAATATGATTAGGGATAGATCTAATGCGTTAAATCATGAGTTAAAAAAGCACTGGCTAGAACTGTTAATAATGCTGGCTGCCAAAATATTAGAAATGAATGCTATCTCTTGAAATATCATACAAAGGTGGCCAAAGTATATATAAATAAATGTTAAAAAAGTCTTAAGTTTCCTTTTCCTAGAAATATAACTAGAAAATTATACTGGTATTCATCTTGTGATAAAAAATTTTAAGGCACTAAAATTTGTGAATCAACAATTTTTTCTCTTTTGAATAACAACATTTTGTGTTGGAAGAGACAACTACTATGAAAATTTAGAATTAAATATGCTATAAAACATTTTGTACTATAAAATTTACTCTTAGGAATTGTAAATGCTACAAAATTCATACTGCTCTATTTATTTTTTCGAAGGTTGGCCAGCATTTTTGAAAACTTTCAGTCACACTGTAAATTTATTCAACAACAAAATTTTGAACTCGTGCAGTTTGCTTGTTCTCATATCCACTGTTAACTAACACTTTCACTGTGGCATCCAGTTAAAAAATCATGCTTCATCATTTATGAGAGAAAAATTAAAATATGACTAACATTCAAAGTGGAGAAGTACAGTATTGCATACATCTCAATGCCATTTCATTTAAATCTACATCACCTGTGTGAGCTCTGAACGTTCCATTCATCAACAGAAGCACTACACTGGAAGAAGCAGAAGAAGAAGAAGGAAAGAAAGAGCAATATTCCATACTTTAAGGCACAACAGCTATCTACTCAAAAAGTCTATCCAACTAGATATGGTCTCCTGGTGTCACAAACATACTGAATTGTTCTTCCTAAAGGCACAATTAATATTATTATTCTTATTATGTGTATATGTAAACACAAAATACTTCAACTAATCCTAATTATAAGGCATATATCATTATTTTCTGTAATATTTACTAGTAATACTACAAGAATTAAAGAGAACTTGCTCTTATGTCTTTGAAAACAGATTACTTCTGTTTTTGATCCCTACTCATTGTTTTATCAACTATATTAAATATTTATCGAGCAATGTAGCTCGTTCAGATCGTTCTCCTCATTTAAGGTTTTGTAAATATAATATCACACTATTTAATATTGTAACCCAGATTGTTTCAACCTTTTGGATTACTTACTGACTGTGTAATTCTATAAACTTCGCATCTGGTTCATTCATCCTCTGTCCAGTCTTTCTGGATAAAAAGCAGAGGTGTTGCTCAAGTTCTTCTTTCTGAGTGCATAGAAGTGAACAACTTCTACTTTAGCTGCTCATGTTACAATTTACTCTTCTTCATGTGATTACTTCTGAACAGAGCTCAGTTATTTCATCTAGCCAAATAAGATGATGTTATATTTATTTTATAATTAATAATTTTCAATCTTTTCCTGCATTTTTAAGATTAAAAATATATAACTTTTCTGCTTTGCATATACTGTAGGTCATACCCCTATAATACAGAACAAAACTTGGTATTTTTCATTTTCTGAAAACATCTGTAGTATGTTTTAAATTATGTTAATGGAATCAACAATATCCATTATATAAGTTCACTGAAAAGTGGCATGTGCCATACAGTCTATAGCATTTCAAATGAAACTGAACCATAGTGTGTACAGGTTTCACGAATTGTTCACATTAAAAGACTTAAAACATCAGACCTATATACAGGTCTATATAGTAAACAACATGAAAATCTTTTTATCCTAAAACACTGCACATTATACATTTCAAATTAATGTTCTTTAAAAACATGTTTGCACTCCAAAAATTATTTTTTCAAACAGCGACAAAATCCTTTGATTTTCCATGTCTCAAATAACACTTTACACAAATGTGCCTTCATTTGGAAAATTTATATAGCATCAAAATTTATTGAGCTCTAACACTGCACATTACAAATCTCAATTGACAAACACACCTAACTTTCAATAGAAAGGTCAAATATTCTGTTAAATAATTTTTCTTTCGAGTCTTTCAGAACTGGCTGCCGACAGTTTTGACCTAGAGGTGATTATCATTTTTCTTAATAACTGAAATACAGAAATTGTAATGATAAAGAAACACCATTTTGTGTATGGAATTTTGTACAATGATATGTAAGCGGATCCAGATCACACATGTGCAGTGAATTCAGTTTGTGACATACTAAGTGGCAGCTTTACACAATATCAGCAGTTCCCTGATGAGGTTTGACAGAAGCTTGTACACAGAAGCATACATGAGAAATATGCATCAACAGAGCAATACATAGTAATCTTTACTTACTTCAATACAATCAACGTCGAATTCTACCTTCCACTTGAATTATTATTATTATTATTAATATTATTCGGGTCCTCTTCAATCATCTGTACATAATGCCAGTCTCTTTGTCAGGTATTAGATAATCTGAATTTAAATGCACTAAGATCACCACTGAGTTTTTACTGCTTCTATTTACACTGATTATGTAAGATATATTTCCAGTTTTATCTCAAGTCTGTGGTAATGCATATAAACATACACATCTGTGTATAGTGTGTTATCGAAATCTGAATGTCACAGACTGTACAATGTACAATGAAATAATATCATCTGTTTTTATGTGATTACATCACAGTTCTTTATATTAAAACTTTACCAAAGATTTTGTTTGTCATTCATTACCCAACACACTGTTGTGTCTGTGTCCTCATACACAACGAAAAAAAACTTTTACTATCACAAATTTTTGTTCATATCCGGATCCTGGAAGTGGGTGACATATACAGTTCTCTTACTTTTGATGACCCTTAAAAAAAATTTATATTCTTTGGTGCTCAAGTATTTCAGTGAACACACATTCACTCTGAACAGAAGAACATGCTTGATGCATCAACACGACAATGAAATTTATAGGAAACTGGAAACTTAAAACAAACATTACTAACGTAATGTTACTTTTCATAATTGTGTATTAATAAAGATTAAAAAGGAGTTGTTTCAGTTCCATTCAAGACCACTGCAAATATTTGTACACAGGCAAAGTAGTATACAATACCAAGAGCAATTTAAGAAGACCTGACTTCATTATTTCCAGTATACTGATACTAGACACAATTTCTGTTTTACCTGAGATAATGCATGACTTGGTACACTTCACTCCATATGACGGTACTTATGTGCAGACATCTGGGAGAGTCCAAGTACTGCGTACTGACAGCTCAAACAGTGATAATGTGTCTGCTTACCAGAATGAGCACACGACTCCATGTTGCATGGCTGAGTTGATGCAAACTTCTCAAATCCAGCAGCCATGATGGAATCTAGTTTCTGATGTTGGCGTCGATGAGCCACCACTTTGTTAGTGTCGGTGCACACAAATTCACACTTTAAACAGTGGAAATGTGATGCTTTATTCTGCATGGCTCCTACAGAGTAAAAAAGAAGAGAAAAAATACTTATTTTTCAACCATATTAATACGTACTTGCCATTAGTAGGATATCTGACCAGCAAAGCCTGCCAGAGATGTGATCTGCAGGAAATTCCATCAAACAACACCGACCTCTGAATACATTGTGGATAAACACCTACACCAATAAGCACTCAACTATACACAGGGATTTGGCCATTCAGGAATTTATATAAATAAAAAATGCAGAAACAATTATATTTCTCAATCCATTTTTGGACATCACAACAGCAAATAATATTCAAGTAACACTAAGACATACAAAGTGTTTCTGCGTGTGGAAGTAACTGTGTGGGGATCCCCACCTGGGGAATTCCAAGTATGGATTCCTCAGCCACAGAATTCCCTGCTCATTTACAAAAGTTTAATTCTGGTGAACGTGCCAGAACTGTTATACTGTGCACACATTTCCTAAATTATTTATTTTTGAGTGTAATTAAGCACAATAACAATTCCTTATGTCACTTATGATACCCATCATTGTAAACAAACTTCTGTAATATGGTGAGGTCACTGGAAAATTATCCTTACATTGCCTCATTTATTTCTAACTGGTATAGGTTTTAGGAACTGAAATTCTATTGTAAGGACCATAATCACAAGTTGATGTTTACCTAGTGTGGAAGTATATACACACTCTGGCCGACCACATGACACATTGGACCGAAACTGTTGAAAATCTCCACCCATGAGTGTATCAAGCCTCTCATGGCGTGCAGTATGCTGGACAAAGCGTGTCTTGTCACAGAAGCTATAGCCACAGTCAGACCGCATGCAGTGGAAGTGTGTCTGGTGTTCCCGGTAACCACAGTGAGGGTATTTGCAGTCTTCATTAAACCTACACAACCAATACAGTTGGAGAATTATTAAAAAGTAAACATAACATTCACAACTGGAGCTCTTAGGACTTCATGGGAAGATATTTTGTTTCACCACATTTTGTATAGCTATACACAGTGAATGACACCTGATGTTTTCACTCTTAGAGTATTCTATCCACCATTTCCTCCTCTCAATTTTCAAAGCTGTGGCCTTCACAGATGCACTGAATGTCATGATTGGGCACTTTGCATTGCTGCTTCATGTTGAGAAGGTTCCATGTTCAAATTTTGGTTTGGAAACCAGCTACTCTATTTTTCATAATTTTCCTCAGTCCCTTCAGGCAACTGATAGTGTACTACTTGAAATTAACTCACAACAACTTCCTTCCATATCCTTTCCAATTAATTATTCTGTGCTACACAGTCTGCACTGTTAATAATGTTATTAAATGATGTCACATCAGAACCCTGAAGATGGGGACAGAGTTTGTTCCCGAAACGTCGGTTTACTACGGTAACCAGCTAATGCGGCTGATTGCTCGAGAAGATTTTATTGATTGTACTCGCCGCGAAATTCTCAAATCCTATAAAGTACAAATAAATAGAAACTTATATCAATTAACTGTAATCCACCAGAGTCTAGGATTTTCTTTGTTATGCGAGTCCCTTTTTGAATGTTTGTTATACAGTAGGGCCCCGCTTTTCAGCGATCCGCTAATACGGCGCTTTTCAATTGCGTGCATATGCCCCATGCGTTCAACAGCTGAGTCAGAGAAGTGCGTCCGGCGCCATTTTCTCGTCGCTGATTCAGTCTGTTTACAGCTACTACTGATATTCATTTTACTTTCATATTGTTTTTTTAGGCCTAGCGCTATTGTGCACTTACTATATGATAGTGTAAACATCTTATTAGGCTTTGATATGCATTTGCAATTGAAAAAAGGCAAAGATCCGCTTTTCGGCGGGGGTCTGGTCCTTAACCTGCCGTATATGCGGTGCCCTACTGTATAGCAGTTATAACTTCTTTCTCATTGATTTCATTATCATAACTTCCAGAAATGTTTCTTTTCTTCAACAAATATCCATCCATCTTTTTGTCAGCCTTTTTATCCTGATTCATCAGTTCCTTATTCTCTTTATATATCAAATTCTTAGCTATCTTGGACTATTTGTAGGATTTAATTCTGTGATTATATTCAAACCATAAGTCTATTGGTTTCCATTTCATTTAATATATTCTTAATTTCAATTCAAATCTCACATATAACCAATGCAGATGAGTTATGAAGTAATGAAAATAAAAGCACACTACAAGCTATGGAAGTTAAATCTAAAGAACTTAATAAGGAAAGACAGTATCAGGTATGAGAAAACTGAAATAGGCTTTTCTCTTCAGTGTCTGCTTTACCAGGGCAATAGATCACAATAAAATTAGATGACTGTCTTCTGGGTTGTAGTGCTATGTAATTTCATAGGAGTTTACTGACATTTCAGACATACTTGCTGCCTCCATCAACAGAGGAATGGAAACAGTAAATACCTCTGAAATATCACTAAAGTTCTACCAGACTACATAGCACTACAACCCAGAAGACAGCCATCTTCATACTCACCATGGCGAGAACTTCAAATCTTACAATAAAATTAACTTTACCTGAAGCGAATGTAACCTTCTGGCACTGGCTCATCTTTGAGTATCCTCATACTGTTCTGCACTCGAGCCTTTTTGGCTTCAGGGCTCATGTCCAAGTGAGGATGATGGGATGGATGAGGTGACATGACTCGCTTGTTCAGACCAGCAAGATGCTGTTCAGGGCTTGGTGTCTGACCAGCTTGTTCTGTGCTGGCTGCTGCAGCATTCAGTAGAGCATGATGGTCAAGTAAACCATTGCTCTGGAGGGCTACTGGGTGAGCATGAGCTGGATGAAGCCCAGGAGCAGCAGCAAACATCAACCCTGTGTGCAATAAATGTCAGTTACACCCACATAATCATCATAAACTTCAGTTCCTTCTTGCAATGAGAAAGAATATCGTCTGAAATTCAAACATATACTCTGGATTTGTAGACATAATCCTCTTGTCAGTGGATGATTTGCATAAACATAACTCTTAATAATATTCTTCTAACGTTAATATTTGATTAACTTCAGGGAAGAGTTTGTTAATAAACCAATTTTGGCATTCAATCATGAAAGCTAAAATACATTCCAAGATCTCTATTTATTTGTTGTTTTCAGGAAATAATTTTAAAAAAATCACCTATTAGCTTTGCCCCCCGGATGTCAATTCATATGTTGCAGGGTTCAAGTACCTGGCTAATTCTGATTAAACTTGATATGGTGAACCTACATTAAATTCTGTAGAACTATTTGATTTTGGTTTATGCTCGATCATTTGAGGGTCCACTTTTCTTTAGTGCCTAAAAAAACTTTCATCTTATGAATATTTTCATTAATTTTAATAACATTTTATATATGATACATATATTACACAGGGTGTCCCAGGAGGAGAGGTCAATATTCTGGGAGGTCATAGTATCAGTCATTCTAAGCAAAAATGTGTATATGTAAACGTGTCCTATTCTGAACGGTTTCCGAGATAGAGCAATTTCACTGTACAGTAGTTTGGATTTGGCGCCCAATATTGTCCTTCCCTATTGGATGTTATCGCCTGCGTTAAGAACGTCAGGATGCACTCAGATGAGCAAAGTGCCATGTCCTCACATGAGTTGCAAAGTGCATTGATGTTGATGGTGGAATTTTCAAAAATGTATTACACTAGGTAAACTGTACCAACTTTGTCACTTGAACAATAAATACCGGTATTAGATACAGTAATATCTCTTTCTTATCTACAATTTTGCAACTGTACAGTGAAATAGCTCTATCTTGGAAACCGTTCGGAATAGGACACATGTACATATACACTTTTTTGCTTAGAATGGCCGAGACTATGACCTCCCAGAATACTGACCTTTCCTCCTGGGACACACTGTATAAGTATTACATTGTATCATTTCCATTTACTTTAACTGACTCTAATTATTTTGACAGATATACATCTGCCTGCTCCTAAAATAACAATGTCCATCACACTTGACTGTATGAATGCACCATTTGTATGTTGTGTGTGTGTGTGTGTGTGGGGGGGGGGGAATTAAATTGAATTCTGGTAGTGGCAACTCTGGTAGAAAAAATTGCAAACTATAGTGGCACCTATGATGGAGTCTGGCAGTGTCTGCATTTCGCAAGCAGTCTGGAATCAGGCAGTTGATTTTGTGTTGGTATGCTTGGCAGGAATCTGGCTTCAGTCACAACAAACATATTTTCACACTTAATTTACTTAATAAAGAAACATAAATATTGCACTTTCATTGTGATTTGCAAAGATAATGCTGTAATAAATTGTATTACTGTTCAACACAAAGAAGGTTAATTCCCATCAACTTTGTACATATATAAAAACTCCACTGTTCAAATTTGGGTAGACATTATAACAGATCTTAAGAAAACATATATACATCCACATGAACACACAACATGATATTGAGGCTTCAAATGAAGTGGTGATCCAAAGAGTCAAATATGGGCTTTTATAAAATTTCAGTATTAAAAACAATATCTCACAGAAATCCTTTTCCCATGAGTAGAGTTTTTGAGCTTGTTCTGTGTTTCACAAGTCTTTTTCTAAAATAATGTGCAAAGAATATATATATTTACCAGCTGGTGAAGAGTAAATTGCAGGGATGCCTGGCTGGATGAATGGGATGCCTTGTGACGTTATGAGAGCAAACTGCTGTCCAGCAGCTGCTGCAGCTGCCATTGCAGCATTGAAACTGGCAGCTGCAGCTGCAGATGAAGATGGAGAGGAGTGTGGTGGGAAAACTGAAGGGTGCAGTCCTACTCCAGGTGGAGGCAACCCACTTCCAGGGCCTTGTGGCATCTCAGAGCTTAGATTTTGTTGTTCATAGGGATGTATACCTCCTGAAACAAATTTAAAAGCATAATGAAACATTAATACTTTCCTCTCAACACTTTCATTGTTACTGCAATACATCAGTCAGCTATGCAGTACTCCATTTCTTCTGAGTGAAAGCATCTGGAAAAGTATATAATAAATCTGTATTCGATTTAAAACTCATATGTCTACTGCATGAATTTCTTATGCTGAAAACACAGAATAACTTTATTAAAAATAAACAATATTACAGGACTTTGTATAAATGGTTGAACAGTTCAACTTGCAACACAGTCTTGTAAGGATGCTTACCTTGCACTATTTGTACTATGATGTTACAGTTATAAATCATTAAGGTATTAGTCTTGAAATTTGAGCACTAAAATTAAATAAAATAAAATATTTTACTAACCTGGACCATTATTTGTGGAATCATTACTTTCGTCATTGTTATTGTCTTCTGGTTCCTTCTTAACAACTGAGGGACTAAGGGCACCACTGCTATGTTTAGCAATGTGGGGCCGCAGACGGTCCAACTCTGAGAAAGCCTGCACCAAAAATAGAACATACAGGACATATACTAAAATCATTAGAAAAAGGCTAGCAGGGATGGGAAAAAGCAAATCAGTAGGGCCTGACAGCATTTCTGGGGAAATTCTAAAATTGGGTGGGGAAGCCATGATTCCATACCTGGCGCGATTATTGGACGTAACAATTAATAATACCACTATACCAAGGGACTGGAAAAAAGCCATAGTGGTTCCTATTTACAAAGGTGATCGATCATTGGTCACAAATTACAGACCGGTCAGTTTAACATCGGTGGTCTGCAAACAAATGGAACACGTTATAGCATCGTACCTGAGGAAAAACTGGGAGGAAAAGAATTGGTTATTCGAGGGTCAACATGGGTTCAGGCCGGGATATTCATGTGAAAGTCAAGTAATCACGGTTTGTCAGGACATTGCAGACACACTGGATAACGGAGGAAGG